AACCTCGAAGCAACCCTTTTTTCCTCAACCTGAACTTAAAAACAGACACGAAAGACAATGAAGGGAAGATTTTATTTTTTTCAATAAACCCACGGCAACTGCCTTGGAGATAAAGATCTGCACTCTTCTGCGTCTCCAGTGCAGTTGGTTCAGTCCTGTAGGTCCAATACGAGTTCTTTCGAAAGAAGCAAAATAATCTCTCCGACATTTTTCATCGTTACCCATTACCTCTAAAGGGATGACCACTATAATTAATGCTTTAGGTGTTGATTGTCAGGGCTGAGGCAGCAATTCAAAATGAACAATCTAGAGTCTGAGCCTAGAGGAAAATGTGCTCATGTGAAGCCAAGTAAATAGCCAGATACCTTAGACGGTAGAATCTGTACTGTTATTGCAAATCAAAACCGAATAAATATCTCTGATGCTGCTTGTGTATATTGTTATGGGAAATTCAAACAAGCCACTGTAATTTGGCTGGTGTAGTTAAGCAAAACTGTGACTTCGAGCGAAATAGATCAAAGGCAAAAACAATTTCGAGATACTAGTGACTGAAAATATTACACCCGAGTTCAGCTAGAAGTGAGATAAGGCGATAACAAAAAGCAGTATCGGAAGTGGCACCGTTAAGTTTCGTCAGTGGAAATGAGGCTCTTAAAAACGCTTCCCCTAACATGTGCCCGCTTGCTTCGTGTATTCGCTGAGGTTGTCATTCATTTGACGAATTGTTTAATGCTCTTAATTTTTACTTTCGAAACAGAACAAAAACCACAATTTACCTATTCTGGAAGAACACCGAACCCTGCAGGCTACCTAGAGTATACCGTTCTTTGGTTTAGTTATTGCAAACACTGCAATAGACCGACTTTGGGAAACTTGGTGGATACGGACTACTGCGGTCTTGTAAATGTGGACTCATCGGCGGATGCCACTGTCTTCGACTGAAGCACGAGAGCAAAGTACACATTAATAAGAATCCTATAAGACCGACTTCAGTATGCTCAGACTCTTGGTAGCGCTACTCATCAACTAGACTTCTGACGCTGTGAGCCAAACAATCTAGGCACCCACTGGTCAAACATTATGCCTAGCTAAGGCGTATCGAGTCGCTCTAGGATCAATCAAAGTAACACTAGTAGTTAGCCAATATTAGCTATGGTTCAAGCCCCAGAACTGACTGTGAGCACAAAATACAGTCCTGTCATTAACACCCTTAACTCTAACGAACATTATTTAAGTGGTCCACTGCGCTGTCGCACCTTAACTTATATACTTCTTGGATTAGCAGAACTGTGCCAGTACTTATTCAGCCAAATCTCATGTACTAAGTGGTCTCTTTTGCCATGCTAAACTGGCTATTGCCAGCATGATTTCTTGCAGAGAAATCATCCAGCAGGACCAGGTAGTTTACAGTTAACACAGGCATAAATAAAGATATATAACCTGGATAGAAAAACAAAACACAGTCAGATTTACCGTTCGGATTTCGCTTCAGCACTGTTGGCCGGCGAGCCGGAGTGAGAACAGATGCCATCAGCGGCGGCGTTGCTGCGCGACCATAGAAAAATGTGATTACTTTGAGAACTGCACACAAACAATAGAACGTGAAAACTGCCATAGGCAGGGGCCAGTCATGACAAGAAACACTACCACGTACAAAAGCAATGATGTCACTTATAGTTCTTCGCCTGTATCTTCAACAGTCTGTACGTAGTTCATACAATTGCTTTGTGATGCTCAAAGACGGATGGGTTCCTAGTGAAAATAAACACTATCGAGTGAAATAATTAGGGAATGGGTGCGCAAAAGCGATGTCAGAGAGCATCTATTCCATATGCTTTGCCCTAGGTGGGTGTCATATCCTGAAAACTCCAAGGTGACCTTTGCGGAGTTAATTAG